ATATAAATATTTTGTTGAGAGAAAATAAGTGAAATTTCGGATTTAAGGAAATGTGTAGTTGAAAACGCTTTTCCTCTTCTTGTAACCTCACTTTTTAATGGAAAACTAAATGAAGGAGTTATATTATCATTAATCTTGTTAAATTGAGTATTTAACTAGGAATTTGAAGAGTTTTAAATCCAAACAAATAATTTTATAAAATACTTTATAAAAACATCTACATGATGATTCGAAGTTGGGTGGCCAATATGAAATACCATGCAAATGATCATTGTGGCAACTCAGTTATTCACTAAATCTTTGTAATCAAATTCACTTAAACTTAATGTCTTAAATTATTGACCTTATAAATAATTATGGCTTGTATTTTCATAACCTTAAATGAGTCGATCTTCCATAGTTTATTTCTTAAATGGGCTATATCAACCAAATTTAGAATATAAAATTAGGGACATTACACATCCAGACGTCCAAAGTAGTACCGGACGACTGAATAGTCGTTATTTTGTCAAAAATCAGAACAGTAAAAAATCTGACCGTTGAAAGTGAAACAGACGTACGGTTCACCATCCGGACGTCCGACTGGACAAAGAACATTTTCCTTCGATTTGTCCGTTTTGATTTACTGACAAGGTGGACTTTAGAATTTTCAAGGTAAGTGATGATAATGAATTGAAAATTAAGTTGAAATTCTTATCTTTGAATAATATTTTTTGTGCAAATGATTTTACGAAGTAAACTTTTATTGTGCATAAAAGTTCGTCACTTGAGCTTTCAATAAGTTATTATTAAGGATTAAAGTATTTTACCTTTACAAGTGAGTTCAAATATATAGTTCTAATATCTTTGATTGATTTGACGCGAATACACGATTTGTTGCTCGATTTTGAATTTGGCGCGAGTAGCCGATTGAGAGTGCTCGATTTCCATCAAATTCGCAACATTTAACAATAGAAACTCGAATATAAATATTAGATATATAAAAATACTTTGTTTGTTATAATCAAAATATAAGATCGACCATAGATCAACAGATTTGATTGTTCATCTTTTTTTCCTTCATTTTTTTTAGTTTCATCTTCCACATAGGTCGCTTTAAAGAAAAAATAAATGTTACTATTTAATAACTGAACTTAAAAATTAATCTCAATAGTCACTGAACTTGATCAAGTGTTATTACTTCATAATTGAACATAAAAGGTATCCAATGATCACTAAACTTTGTACCGTGTTATCCATCTATCACTCAACTCAATCTCTTTTGTTGAACCTAACAAATTTTCCAACTTGAGTGAAAGATGGGTAACATGGTTTATAGTTCAGTGGTCATTGTGATACATTTTTAAGTTTAGTTATGAACTAACAAGACATGTCGAAGTTCAATAATCATTGCGATACATTTTTAAATTCAATTATTAATTTGTAACACTTCACAAAGTTCAATAACCATTTAAATAATTAAGCCAATAAAAATTTGTCAATTTCAAAACATGTGATTAAAAAATAATCATTTACACCAAACTGGGCTAGAAACAACTGAAATGCAAGATGGCCACGTAAATTGCATATCAATCACCAAATATTTGATAAAATCCCAATGTAGATAAGATGATCAGTGCTTCAATTTGGAATTCTTTAGGGGAGAAAGAGACTGAAATTTACAAATGTCACACTAATTATGTAGAAAGTGTGGCAGCGAATTTGTTAAATTAAATGGCAAAGGGTTTCGGCATCAAACTGCAACAAAGGGTACCACATTATGTAGGCTTTTTTTCCTCTCTACCAGCAGTTTCGTCTAGTTCTTCTCACACTTTTCCCCTTCAATTTTCAAGAGTAGTTAAGCGGGGGGTTATTAGGTATAGGCTCCCTCGTAGGGTTGTGTTGGGAATTGGGATTTCATTTTGGTCTCAGTTGATGAACATGGCGGGTAATTTTGGTGCCAAATCGTTCGTAGCTTCTGCAAGACAAAAAGGCGCAGTTGAGAAGGTAAATTTTTCCTTGTGGGGTTTTTTTTTTTGAACTTCCTATTGGGTTAGCTGGTTGCTTGGTTACTAATTGGGCAATAACTATTTTTCTATAATTTTTTGAATGAAATTCGTGGAATTCAACAGTGTATTGCTTGAGATTTGGGTTTTCCCCCTCGAGATGTTAGAGAATCGGAGTAGATAAGTTGATAACTAAACTTCCAGAACTTCCAAGTATCGTCTTAATCCAAGTGTAATGTGCATCATTCTTGATGTCAAAGTGTGTGTCATTAGAAGGTAGAAACAGATTAGAGAATCGGAGTAGATAAGTTGATAACTAAACTTCCAGAACTTCCAAGTATCGTCTTAATCCAAGTGTAATGTGCATCATTCTTGATGTCAAAGTGTGTGTCATTAGAAGGTAGAAACAGATGAGAGGCCATCTGCTTCTTTTTGAAGGTCAGATGTGTAGGTTAAAAGCTAAATTCAGATTTCGTCTTCTTTGGCAAAAATGTTTCAGAATGTCATTCCCCGTTTCAATTACGCCCAAACTATGTTAGTAAGAGACTTTTGTGAACTTCAATTTTTAAGTTCTATATCTGCAACTTTTATGATTTATTCTAGACTTCTAGTTCCCAAATTCAGTGTTTTGTAATTCATTCATGTCTCTTTTTTGTTTATGTGTTCATTTCTGCTTTGAACTAAAGGTATTAGAGAATATGGAGTGGCCTGAGCAATTCCCCTTCAAAGAGGAGGATTTCCAGCGCTTTGATGAGTAAAATTTCCTCTCTCTCTCTCGTCCCACTGGATTAAAATTTTGATATTATTGTTAACTATTTCATATTCAATCCTTTGCATTAACACACTTTCAATTTAGTTATATGACCTGTGGGAAGAAATGGTTATGGCATATCACTTAGCTAGCTAATATTTTTTGATTATCTGGAGCGCAAAATCATCTGGTTCTAGCTATACGTCTATGTAAAAGTCTTGCTATTATAATCCCAGAATATGACATATTATAGTCACTCATTTAGCTAATATATCTTGTCATACACTGTTAAATATAATTCCTAATTTCAAGGTTGTCTAGCATTTTGAATTTCTGTCAAACACTTTGATCGCTCATGTACTGATCTCTCATGGCACCTCTATTAGTTGTTAGGTAATAGGGTGTAAAAGTTGTGGAGAGACTAAGGTGGCATGGGTCTTCTATTTCATATATATATATATATATATATTTGGAAGATACATGGATATTGACATTTTGCTGAATTTAGTAAAAAAGAATCTCCACAACTTGAAAGAAAAAATTGTGATTGGTTTTCTATTATATCTTATATGTCTATAGTACTATATAAATGGGCAAATTCAGTGTCCGATATGAGACTTATATGAGTAGATGGATGGGGTTAGTAATCATCAAGGTATATCGCACATTTTCCATTTGATGAACAAGAAAATTGGGAACATCGTACTTCATTTGTTACAATTTTTAGCCTCTAACCAAGAACATTTTTAATCAAGAGAAAATCGAATGCTTGGACAATTATAGTTTTGTCCTGAATTCTAATATAGAAATCGGAACAAAACTTGCCCGCAGGGCCTATGATAAACAACAAATCGAAGAAATTTACGGTGCCATCATTCCATTTTCAATAATTGACGTTCCTGCTTGACTTTTCAATTATGATCCATTTTGGTCACCAAAGTAGCTCCAGCTGCATCTGAATAATGTCAAGGTTTCATGCTACATTTCTAATAAAACCAAAATTTCAGGACACCAGATTCATCATTCTATGAAGCTCCACGCTTTGTGACGCATATTGATGAGCCAGCTATTGCTGCACTCACTAAATATTACTCAGAGGTTTTTCCACCCAGTGATACTCCTGGAGTTGCTCTGCTAGACATGTGTAGCAGCTGGGTAGGACATATATACCTTAATTCACTCCTTTGTTTGAAAAATGACATATGATCATAACATGATTCTTATATTTTATCTAGGTCAGTCATTACCCTAAAGGGTATAAGCAAGCCAGAATAGTAGGAATGGGCATGAATGAAGAAGAGTTAAAGAGAAATCCGGTGAGTCCATTGTTTACTTTTGAAACGCTTAACATCTCAAGTGTCATTGACCTGAAATGTTTGGTCTTTACATACTATTTGAAAACCAGATGTCTGAAAATGGAAAATTTGATTCTTTTGGGTCGTTTTATATCCTTTTGCTGAAGTTTCCAAGTATAAATTGAAGACCACGTTTCTGTCTCAAGAGCAATGCTTATACACATTTGAATAGATTCTACGCCTTGTTTTTTTCTCTTTTAACAATGGATTTGATTTCTATAACACTATACACTTTCATGAGATTTCTATAACACTATACGCTTTCATGAGATGAAGAATCATGTATTTTACTTCATATCTTTGTAGGTTCTCACAGATTATGTTGTGCAAGACTTGAATGTTGATCCTAAGCTCCCATTTGAAGATAACACCTTTGATGTTATTACAAATGTGGTACGTCCATCATAACTACCTGTAATTCCGTTCAACATCTGACAAATATTTAAGATCAGTGATTCATTCAACAGGGTACTTATTTGTTTGGCGATTGAATATTTTTAGTCTCTGTAATTGAACAGAATTACAGCAAAAAACCTCATCAACTTCAGATACAGGAATTTATGTTACTCAAAATTTATTTTTGATATTCACTATTGCTGACACATTAGGTGGGCCTGTAACATTATCTTTGTAAAAAAATGTTCTGTCATCGTTCTGCTTGGCTTCAGATTTCTCTGTTAATGTTACATATTTGACCTGTTCTGCCCCTTCCATGGAAGTAAGTGTTTCAAGTGATTAATAATACATGCTAAACTTATGGCCTTTCTCAAAATCTATAGGCTCCTTCTGGTGATGATTCTTCAAGTGACAAATAGAAGCAAAGAGAAGGGAGATTGTTCTATATTTTACTGTGTCTCTAGTTAGCAAAAAAAATATGTGGGAAAGGCTTCCCTAGAAACTTCCTTGGCTAAACTATTGTGCATTAGTGCATATTGTGTCCCGAGTGAAAAAATGGAAATTGCAAGGAAATGAATACGCCATTTCTTCTATTAAGTAAAGATTTATTTTTATAAGATAGATTCTTTCTGATTCTCTCACAAAAGAGAAGTTATTTTCTATTTTCTTTGCCTTCATTGTGGAAACATTTTCAAATATAAATTTCTTGGTTTTGAAAGCTCCTATGCATGGATATATCATACATTTGTCTTACAGGTTAGTGTTGACTACTTAACAAAGCCTTCTGATGTTTTCAAGGAGATGTCAAGGATCCTTAAACCTGGTGGACTAGCTATAATAAGGTGATAATTGCTGAACTTTGTACAGCTTATTTACATTTTTAAACGTGTTGGTTCTTCAGTAACATATTGTGAACTCTTGGCGGGATTTAAGGTTTATATATCTTTTGTTCTATAAATATAGCCAATAATTCTCAATGCTTCTCTTATCTAGCATTTTGCTCGATGAGATGATTTCTGATTCTGTAGATTATGCCTGTATATCAGCTTCTCCAATCGCTGCTTCTTTACAAAGGCAATCTCGATATGGACTTCAACAGGAGATTCTGATCATGTCTTAATAGTTGGAGCATATTTCCATTATGCTGGAGGGTTTGAGCCTCCTAAGGTACATTCTAATTTTCCAGTTTGATATATTAAGAATTTTGCTACTTTGGCTATTACTTGATACCTTGAACCTAGTGTTTTTGGAATGAATATTCTGATCATTACCAAATAGAACTTTCCAAAAGGAGAACCCATGGTCTGTCTAAATGTTATTTATTCGTTTCCAACTCTTTATCGATAGCAATAATTTGAAGAAAATGCACTGGGCAAAAGGTATTAAGTCATTCCTTGCACAATTAAAAACTTGAAAATGTAAGCATGATCATAAAATTTCCCTAATTAAATCACGTTAATGAGGATGTCACTATTAAAGTTTGACATAATTATTTGATTCAATGTAGTCCTTTCGCCTGAGTTGTGATAATTTGTTCTCAATTTTATGTAGGCTGTGGATATATCTCCTAATCCTGGACGCACAGATCCCATGTACATTGTGTACTCGAGAAAATTAGCAACTGCCTGAGATAGGATTACAGTGCAAACATTCTCTTTGAACCTGGTACATTCTGTATTCGACTTGTTCAGTTTATGCTGTGAATGAGTTGTGTTGTTGTGAATGCATACGTGCATGAATCTCAGCAGTAACGAATATTTAACCCCGAGTTACTAACATACGAGGCAACTTGTTCTGAATGCAAATTTGATCTCTAAACCTGGTTGAATGTGCTTTTTGTGATTTTTGGAAACTAAATTCTTTGACAGAAGTGGCTTTGGTGGTTTAAAAATTTGGCCAAGCCATCTAGCTGCTACAGCTGTACTAATTAGGGACGGGGGAAAAATTGCTACACTGGATAGCTCACAAGATTTGAGAGAGTTAGGTGACATAATTTGACAATTGTCTTATCGAGTCCAAAATACAGAACCAACGAAGTACTTAATTTAACACATAAAACTACTATGTATTTAGTGGTGTCAAAATTGGATGGGCTGGTATGGATCGACCCGCCTACAACTAGGTCCTATTCAAGTGTGTAGCGTGTTTGAATTGGCTTGTTAAATAATATGGTTAGAGCTATGAGTGGACCATCTTCCAAATCTGAGGACCGACCTAGCCTGCGGTCCTGCTAATATTTCAGGCTGGGCTGGTACCACCCATTATTTTCCATTTTCATAATTTTTTCGGAATTTAATTTGATTTATATAGTATTGTAATTGAAATAAATACATATTGTGAGAGAGATGGGAGTGTATGAAAAATGTATAATCAAAATAAGTATTCATAGCCAAAACACTGATTCTTTAAGAACAAAATTCGTTAAAATTGTGGTTCATTAACACTTAGAGAGGGTCTCCATCTAACATTATTCTGGTAGCAAAATGTCTCTCTTCGAGTAGTTGTTCAGTGTTTGCAAAGTGATTTTAGGTTGGCGAACAATGCTTCTACTTATTTTAATATAATAGTTTCAGTATACGAGCTTAATTGTGGTTTTTGTCACTTCACTCCTCTTAGGGTCCGTTTGGAATAATTTTTGTAGAGAAGTTTTTGGACGAAGTTACCTTCATTTTTGTTTGGAAACTAATTCTTAAAAAGGTGTTCTATTCCAAAATTACTTTTAAAGTAAGACACATTGGATCAGCTTCCTCTAAAAACTCTTCTAACTAAAAATAATAATTTTATAAAATTAGCTAAACAGGTCAAAAAATAGATTTTGGATCTTAAAAGTTTCTTTTAATTTTTCAACAATCATGCCAAACGAAGCCTTAGAACTGAGAATCATGTTGCCCATTAGTTAGCTAATCTCCATAGCTATGTTTTCTTCCTTCGACTTATGTTGGGTTGATTGCCTCACCTTTTATCATCATTTATGCTAGACGGGTTATCTTAGTGAAATCTTCATTTTTTGCAGTTCAATAATAAGTCATTAAACTAAAAAAAAAAAAAAAGAACCATTAAGTCGCGAAGTGAAAGATATTTCAAAAACTCTGTTTATGACTTTTAGCTTTTAATTTATTTATTATTATTATTTTTCTTAATAATCGAGCTAACTAGGTCAGCCTTCATGGGTTGTATTATCTACCCTTACATCTCCCCTCCCCTCCCGAAAACCAACCAACATATCAGTGAAATGTGTAAATTGAAACATGTAAAGCAGAATTAATGAGTAATGATATTCAGATTCGTTGATGTTCAACACCCATCTATGTGACAGTTTAGGGGATTGAATCGCAACAAACATAAGCCACATTGTTTTAAGTTCATTGAACGATATAGCTTTAGACCTCTGTGCTACAGAAGCACCCGTGGATGGTGAATTGCACTGCTCAAACAAAAATAATAGTCTTGCAAATATTTAGTGCTGGTAAAAAATTGAAGTTAAAATAAAAAATTAATTGTAATCACACATTACATTGGATTCACAATTAATAATCACATTTTTACAACGCAATTCGTGTAACCCATCATTTTGTTTCCCCTTTTTAATCAAAACGAACTTTTTAGCACTTTCAAATAAGCACTTGTAGAGATGGAATAGCACTTATTAGCAACTTCATACCAACAACAATAAAATAAATGTACAAGAAAGATAAAAAGAAAAAAAAAAAGTAAAGGAACACAAGGAGTTTTCTCCCTAAGGCAAGAGGTTCGGAATAAATTATAATCCTCTTTTGAGCTTTCGCCAATCGGAAGAGATCACTATATTAATCAAGGATCAAAGTCCGGTCAAAGTTACACCAGGCACTCAACAAGAATCACTCAAGATATCTTCACAATAATGAAACCCTCTCTAATCGAAAAAGGAATCCACACAAGGATACAAAATCAGCTCCTACAAATCACTCAAGAGATGTACTCAAGCTATACAACAATCAATTTACAAGATATTTCAATCTCAGAGTGCAAAACAGAAGAA